GAGGGGAGTGAAGCAGAGGACTTGCCAATGGGACTGTGGACATCAAATTGACAGCTCCTTGGAGTCGTAAAACTTAGCCACTGTCTGGCTTGTACACTCGTACATATGTTTAGAGGGTAATGATTGTCACCGGCTAAACAATTAAATCGAGGTTAGGAATGGCGCATAAAAAGCGCATAAAAACGGGCCATAAACATACACAGCAGACCCTTAGACCCAGGCCAATGATAATGATGATGATGATGATAATGGTAATGATGACGAGATGACAATAACGGTTGAGATGTCGTCAACGCATCGTAAACATTTTAAGCCCGAGTTTATATACATTTTGGAATGGGTTTTTAGGATCTTGAACATGACCCCTATGCGATCTGTGGCCTCGTAAAACTCAGCTGATAAGACACTCGCCGCGTGGTAATGATAATAAAATTATAAGTAACACCCACATACGAGGTGTGTTCAAAAAGTAAGGTGACTTTTCAAATTTCTCGGGCAACATATTTTCGATTATCGTTTTTTTTGTTTTGTTATATTGGTACACTCTTCCCTAACATCTGTACCAAGTTTCAATGGAACATCCTCTTTTGTTTGGTTGTGAGAGGCGTAAAGGTACAAGTTGTTTTGCGAGCTCGGCGATTTTTTGCTATCGAAAAATATGGATCAAAGGATTTGCATCAAATTTTGTGTAAAAAATAAAATTAAGTGCTCTGAAACACTTGAAATGTTGACAGTGGCATACGTTGAAACTGTTCTGAGTAAAAAAAATGTGTACAAGTGGTACAAACTCTTCCAAGATGGCCGGGAAGATGCCAATGACCAGCCTCGCTCTGGACGCCCAAGCACGTCAACAACTGATGAAAACGTTCAAGCAGTGACGAAAATTGTTTTGGAAAATCGTCGAATCACTATCAGAGAAGTTGCTGAAGATGTCGGTATATCGCTTGGCTCGTGCCATGAAATTTTTCAAACGTTTTGGGTATGAGTCGTGTGTCAGCGAAGTTTGTTCCGAAATTGCTGAATTTTGACCAAAAGAACCGTCGCATGAGCATCGCTCAAGAGCTGTTGAATGACGTCAACGACGACCCAGATTTACTCAAAAGGGTCATAACTGGTGACGAATCATGGGTATATGGTTATGATATCGAAACCAAAGCCCAATCGTCCCAATGGAAGAGCCCAGACGAGCCAAGACCGAAAAAAGCAAAAAATCGCCGAGCTCGCAAAACAACTTGTACCTTTACGCCTCTCACAACCAAACAAAAGAGGATGTTCCATTGAAACTTGGTACAGATGTTAGGGAAGAGTGTACCAATATAACAAAACAAAAAAAACGATAATCGAAAATATGTTGCCCGCGAAATTTGAAAAGTCACCTTACTTTTTGAACACACCTCGTATGCTGGGCATCCCTTTTTTGAATGGGCACTTCGGGGATGCCCTCATCTATTGTTATCCTTTTTACCCGCCGTAAAGTGCACTAATCAGCATTTAAAATTAACTAAATGCCCGCCTCTTAAGACATGACTTGATGAGTTTGGCCTTTGGCTCAAAGGATCCTTCTTGGTTGGGCTCTAAAACCTGGTTTATGTTGCTGTTGCTGTTTTTGTTGGTTGCCGTTAAGTGGCTAGAAGATGCGTTTTTCATGTAGCTGCAAATGGCGCTGGGGCATGTGGCAACTTGAGTTTGGTGGGGGGGAGCCATAACACTTGCAAAGTGACATTTGATTGCTCTAGTTCTATGGGTTGGTAAAGTGCTGAGCTGCTGGATTCGCATTAACATTAATTGACAGATGTGTTTTGGGGAAATCGTCAATTAAAATCCAAGCGGAAGTTCTCAATTAAGTTGATTTCTAATAGAAAGTTGGATAGAAAATGATTTTAGTGGGGTTTTATTCATGGGAAATATCACTTTTAGAAGGTTTTATGGATTTGTTATTAAGTTGATAGTAAGTGGTGATAAGATGTAAGGACTTCCTTTCCTTTGGTTGGTTTCTGAAAAGGATTTTATGCTATCTTTCTCCTCAATTTCGAGAGTCATGGACTTATCTTAAAGGTTATATACCAACTTAAAGCCTTAACTCATTTGCAAAACAACTTCTCTTAGCCCCCCTTTAAGCTCCATTATCATATGGCACTTTACGGTTTTAATTGGGGGCCCAGCTCAGAGAGTGCGTGTCATCCACGAATAGAGTGCACCCCCAGAAAAAGGGCAGCTCACTTCCGCCATTTTCTATGATGAATTGCTACTTTGGCTCAACACACGCACACTATTCCAGCGTAGAGAAGATGCGCAGACAGAGATGAGCTGAGTCTGTGCCAGGAGCTGAAAAGAAAGCAAAGGACGAGGGGACTTGGGACAGGACCTCGCCTAGATACACATTTATCCAGCTGTCGGCGGCGATGACAGGCCTAGGGCGCAAAAAGAAAAAAAACAAAAAAAGGAGTGCAGGACTCCGAAAGGGACTCACTTTTCCTAGGCAGGTGAGCCCGAAACTCGGGACTCGCCGAAAAAGGGGCAACGGGAAGTGCACTTTTGGACACAGGACACCCACACATCGGGGTGCTTTTGCCGCTTATTTATGTCTGGCAATCATAAAGCGCGCTAAAAAGGGAAAGAGAGTGTGAGAGAGATAGCCCTATGGCTGGCTAGAAACAGAGAGAGAGAGAGAGAGAGCTATAGCGAGTGCAGGTTATGGCCTTCTATAACTCAGAACTCGGGGAACTCCTGGACCCGGAACTCACAACTCAGAGCTCAGAGCTCAGACCTCTGAGAACTCACATAATGCCGCCTCTTTCTGGCCAACGTCTGCGTCCACTTTCGTTGGCTGCTGCTGCTGCTGCTGCTGCTCCTGCTGCTGATGTATTCCATACAAATTGCAGGTTTTAGTGTTTTTATTTTTGCCCTCCAACACACGGGGGTGAAATCCTGAATCCAGAATCCTGGGGTAAGTAGAGTGGGTGGGCGAGGCGAATGGGCAGGCGCATCATCCATCAATGGCATTTGCGGCAAGAACAGCGGCGAATGCTCTCGGTGAGTGCTTTTGACGTTTTTGTGTCGCAGACACAACAACACTCTAAAGAGGGGCGGGGAAGGTCCAGAATCTGGCTAGCATCCCCTTTTTTTTTTTCCTTTTTTCCATTTTTGGCGAAGTCATGCGGCGAAATTTGTTCAATATTCGCTGCAAAACAAAATCAAAGCCCCTGCACTGAGGGGAAAAATGCGATCAGAAGGGATTTTCCTTTAAGGGTTTTCATTGTGGAAATGGAAAATGTTGAGGGGAGTACTTAAGGTTGTTTATCGATCTTTTAAACTTAAACTTTTGGTTTTCTTTTTTTTAGTTTTTGGTATTATTAATACTTAAAAAGAATATGTTTTCCTGATAAAATGTGGGAAATAAAATGAATTTTTATTGTTTTTCACAGTTTTTAGTTTTCAGATTCAGAGCTTTGGACTCTTGATTAATCTTAAGAATAGTTTATAGATTTAAGAATTTTGTTAGTTTAAGATATTTTAGACTTACTTAAGATAAAGCTAGAGAATTCCTCAACAACTAAGGTAACTTTCCCTAAAGATTTCTGTTAAAAAGAACCCTTTAAGACTCGTTTTAGACCCACAAAACCTGCTTTCTCCACTCTACTCTCTTTACTTTCTTTACATCCCCTCTTTTCTATGGCAAACCTCTCTCCTTTTACCCTGCTATTTGTAAAATAATAACATAAAATATGGCTGGCCTTGAACAATTTACTTTTATTTTATTTTTATTGCCCAGCCTCCGTTGAAACTCCTCCACAACATGTGAACCCTTCTCCCCTCTCTCTCTGTGTGTGTGGGTGGGTTGTCTGCATTGTTGTTGCGCCTCGCTTTTAGCTTCATTAAATTTATGTTGCAACACCCTTCACCACCCCCCTTAGACTACCGCCTTTTACACCAAATATCCTGGGCCTAGTTGCACGTGCCGCGTGGCCGTAAAACAGATCGTAAAAGTTTATTACTTGCGGCTTTTGTTTGTTACTCTCTCTTTGTCTATGTGTGTGTGTTTGTGTTGCTTTCTCTTTTTCACTGTATATGTATATGTGTGTTTGTGTGTGTTTTGTTTGTGTTTGTGTGTGTGAACCGCCGTCGCTGTCAGCTGTCAAATTGAATTTGTTTATATTGCCAACAGCTCGCCGCTCCAACAGGTTTCATTTTCACTCCCATACCGGAAATCATTGCGTCATGCTGATATTTTGTATTTTAACACCCCCCCTCGTCCACCCTTTCCATTTGCCACGCCCCCCTTTTTCCGTCCTGTCATCCTCAGGCTTTGTGTTTAGGCTGCAAAAGTCGATTTTTGTTGGTTTAGGTCAGTTTAGTTAGCTGGCTTTGACAGCTCAAAGTCGAGGTCAACTTTTGTATGCCCATCATCAGCTGTCTCTGTGTCTGTGTTAGTGAGTGAGTGAGTGAGTGTGACTGGGTCTCTGTTAGTGTGTGTGTGTGAGTGTGTGTGTATCCTAACAGAGGATATATTTATGGGGCCGCTGGTCGAGACGCGTCCCCATAGCTGCGACGCGTCCTTGTCAGTTGCCAAAAACATAAAAAATCGATTTTATTATAGCCGTCAGTCTGGGCCGTCTATATAGATTTTCTGTCACTGCTGATATTGCCTTTGTCTGGGTGTTGCTCTCTCTGTCTGTGTGTGTATGAGTGAGTGTTAGTGACAGGCTTAAATTTGTGACTGACTCCGTTTAGTTTAGGCAAAGGTTTTAAAGTCTTTTGGGGGCCTAAGGGGCGTATGAGTAATATGGGGAGGGATATGGGAAAAAAGAGGTAAAAATGTGGGAAGTTAATATTGGAAGTATATAAAGACAAGTTTTTTGATTTATTTTTAACTTTTTTTTTATATTTTTAGTGAATTTTTTTAGTGAAAAATTTATCATAAAAACAAAAAAGACCAAAAATAGTCAAATAATTCAGCAAAAGCTTCTTCTATGTTTTGTTATCTTACCAACGAAATAAGCTACCAAAGAGCACACAAAAACTGAGACCAAAACAAAAATCAGAAAAAAAAAACATAAACAAAATTAATCAAATCAAAAATTCGCCCGCTGAGCAGAAAAGAGCGAACCGAAAGCTTTGCAAAGCTCACTTAATATGCATTAATCAAGAAAGTTGGAAGAATCTATACAGTCTGCAATATGTTGTCAAAGCAGTGGAACGCAAAAAGGCAGATCTATCAGCTATATAGGGGATTGGCACAGCAAGTAAGATATATAAAGTAAAAAAACTGATTAATTTTTAAATAATATTCCATGACTTCCACTTAATAGACCTCTAAAGTTAGCTTAGAGGAGGCCAAACCCTATGCTGATATTCCGGGACCAACAAAATTGCAATTGATACGAGCTTTTCTACCGTGCGGTAAGTTAAGGCAAAGCTCTCCAGTCTTTTCTCTTTGGAGAATCATAAAAGATCTCTTAATTAATAAACACTCTCTTTAGGTCGCTATAGAAATTTGCCGGTTCATGAAATGTTTCTCGATATGAATCGGCAATACGGCAGTATCTTTCGAATGCCTAATGTGGCTGGCACTGATATGGTGCTCACCATGAATCCTCAGGACTATGAAGTAGTTTTCCGTAATGAGGGTCAGTTTCCCTATAGAAGAAGCTTCGAGGTAATGGATTACTTTAAAAGGGTTCATAGGAGAGAGGTGTTTGATGGCTATGATGGCTTGACTTCCGGGTAAGTCAACTTAAATAAACAAATTTTCATATCACAAAATGCAATTTTATTTTGTATGCCTAGAAATGGTCCTGCCTGGGGCAAGATGCGAACTGCTGTTAACCCCATACTCTTACAACCTCGTAATGCCAAACTTTATATGAAGAACTTGTTGCAAGTCAGCGATGAGTTTCTAGAACGGTAACTATCCATACTATTCAACATAATCCAAGTTAATATTACAAATTCGATTTTTAGCATTCGTAAAATTCGTAACCCTGAAACCCAAGAAATGCCCGAGGACTTTGCCGTGGACATTCGTCATTTGGTGATAGAATCAATTTGTTCCGTGGCCTTGAACACACATCTTGGCTTATTGGGTGAGCAGCGTGATAATAAGGAAATTCAAAAGTTAGTCCTGGCTCTGCAAGATGTAGTTGAGTTGGGCTTCCAGCTGGACATGATGCCGGCCTTTTGGAAATATTTGCCAATGCCAAATTTCAAGAAACTAATGCGATCGTTGGATACCATTACGGATTTTTGTCATTTTCACATTGGGAATGCTCTAAAGAGGATTGAGGAAGATACCAAAGCTGGAAAGCTCACAGAGATTGGCTTAGAAACAAGCCTGCTGGAGAAATTGGCCAAATTCGATCGTCAAACAGCTGTGATTATAGCCATGGATTTGCTGTTTGCTGGAGCAGATCCGGTTGGTTTTCTTAAATATTTTTAGATTTAACATTTTATAATTTTTCAATTATATTTATTGCCTTTTCAGACTCTTGTATCCTTGGGTGGAATCCTGCTCAGCCTGTCCAAAAGTCCTGACAAACAGGCACGACTTCTGGAGGAGCTCCAAGGAATACTGCCCAACAAGGACTCACCGTTGACTATGGAAAACATGAAGAATATGCCATATTTAAGGGCCTGCATTAAGGAGGGCATACGTATGTATCCTATAGGTCCCGGAACGCTACGTCGAATGCCCCATGATGTCGTGCTCAGTGGCTATAGAGTTGTGGCCGGAACTGATGTGGGCAATGCTGCCAACTTTCAGATGGCTAACATGGAAGAATTTGTGCCAAAGGTACGAGAATTCATCCCAGAGAGATGGCTGCGCGATGAATCTAACTCGAACTCTCACTTGGTGGGCGATACAGCCACGCCTTTTATGTATTTGCCATTTGGTTTTGGGCCAAGATCATGTGCTGGCAAGAGGATAGTGGATATGATGCTGGAGATAGCCATTGCCAGGTTAGTAAGGAACTTCCAGATTGGCTTCGACTATCCCATCGAGAATGCCTTCAAGGCGAAGTTCTTTGTTCAGCCAAATATTCCTTTTAAGTTCAAGTTTGTAGAGCGAAGCTGTTAACTTTGTTGATACTTAAATATGCTACATAAAAATATATCAAAAATGATGATTTAACAAGAAGAGTTTATTATCATTGAGCAGTTTTAAACTCTTTTGGTTTTTATTTTAAACTTAAAAAGTTTTTTTTAGATAATATTTTCTCTGAGTGAATACACTCTTCAGGGTCTGGCGAAAGACCTTCAAGTGGTTCTGGTTGCAAACACATGTCTTGGACGCTGGAGTGTCCCCTTGAGCTCAGTACAGAAACATCCTCTTGAGCCAACATATCTTTATGGCTGTCTCAAAATAACTTTGGCATTTGCCGGGCATCTGAAGAGGACTCTTGACTGAAAAGGAAAAACTACTTAACGTAATTTATATGGGCAGAGGGAAAACTCTATAGTAAAGATATTCCAATAAGGGGATTTAAGGTTCAATACTACTAAAAACCTATAAACCTTGCTCATTTGAGATCATTTTATAGATCTTGAATATTTGTGATATGCCCATAAGTATGCAATTATATTTGTCAAGATCAAGATCAACCTGTAACGCCATCTATGTATCAAATTGGCTATAATTTAAGGTCTTAGAAGTACAACTTCAAGTTTTTAAGGTAAAATAACATATAAAAAGATATTTTATATAACTTATTTCACTTTTGTATGCTTTATAGATTTTACTTTAAGCCTTAAGGCAGCAATTTGTAAGCTCACTCAACGGCTGCCACTGCCTCATCCTTTCTACATCTCTCCATTGCCATCAGACCGTTCTTCGTCCTTCGTTATCGGCTGTTGTTGGACAAACAAATGCGCCGACATAAATAATGCAAAAGTATTCATTTTGACATCGAATAGACAAAGTTGCATTGAATTTTCATGTTTGTTCCTCTCTCTTTCTCTTTTTTTTATTTCTTTCAGTTACTTCGGTGCCGGGGTCTTATCTGCCCTTCTTTTATTTTCTGCTAGAAAGTCCTGGTCCTCGTATGTCCTGGATTTTATGCTGCAGACCGGACTCTACTCGTTGGTCGTCGTCTTGTGCATTATTAAAACTATTCTGATGGCGCTTCCGAGGATGGGGTCCACTTGAAATGTCAATGCTGGCTCCACAGCTCCTTCTAGCTTCGTTCCTCCTTGTCCCCGTTTTTGCAGTGCATAAAGTTTTATCGTTGTCGGAGAGCACGGGGGTATTGGATTCCGATTCCGATTCCTATATACCGATTCCCTGCCCGCTGTTCTGTCACGTTTCCTGGCCAAGGACTCGCAAACTTGTGCCCGGGACGAAATGCATTTGCAATTGCATAAATGAATAGCAGAAGGAGGTAGAGATAGAGAGGCAGAGTGTGAGTGCGGGGTAAGGCAACAGACAAAACGAATGGAATTCATTATTGGCCAGGAGATGTGTCCTGCCGTAGGTACGGGGGCGTGGCCGAGGTGCTGGCCTTTAAATTGAAAATGCATGTCAAGTATCGGCTGCACACACAAATCACAGTTTCAGCGCGCAATTCGCAATTTTCGTTGTTGGCCTTTCGGAGGGCGGGGCCATTTGCACTTTATGACATGGCACTACCCCCTATCCTCTGCCTCTTGACCCTTCTAAAAAGTCCTCTTCAAGACCAGCCCCCCCCATAAAGTGAGCAATTAGACAATGTCCCAGCCTATTCCGCCTCCCCAATTCCTGCACTCTGCATCTTGGCAATTGGAATTTCGGCTTTTCGCATTGAACTTTGACTTGCCATCAACATGAGGTTCGGGAAAGCTGCACTCAGAGAAAATATCATTAAAAAGGTGCCAGTTTGTTGCATGGCCAACTGTATAAGAGACTTCATAGGACTGATTACTCATTAAAAGTGACAAAAATTCATTGGTTTCTTATATCTTTCTAATATTTTTCCAACCATTTAAATTTTGCCACGGTGTTCATTTTCCGATTACCCCACCGCCTCCTTGTGCCCAGATCTTGTCACATGACATGATGGCCGTCCATTGCCGAGCTGCCAATTTGCAACAGCACGGGCGTGGAAAACGGACCACGTCTAATGATGGCATACATAACCTGACTACCCCTGAACGCCTCCGACTTGGCCCGGCTGGCAGGCAGGCAGGCAGGCACACGCCCACGCCAGGTCCTTGGTCCTGTTCCTATAACAATTTCCATTCCTGGTGCCTGTGCCCAAGTCCATGCCTGGTCCTTGGTCCTTGGTCCTTGGCAAGTGTCATGTCACACAACGCACTCGGCTGGCTTGTCAATTTCGCAGCTGGGCGTGGCTGGAAGCCGAGAGCATGACTTGAGCCCCAGTGGCAGGCATTAGCATGTTCCACCAAAGGCAGAGTTTAAAGGAAAGCAAAAAAAAAAGAAAATGTATCAACATTGCAGTGCAGGACAATCGGTAGACACCCTACCCATACACACACACTCACACCCAAACTCCCACCCCCCCAAGGATGGCGACCCGCCCTGACAGGCGTCCATGATTAATGGTTGTCAATGGCATTCCGCTCGGATCGGATCGGTTGGGCTTGACTTGGCCTGCATGCGGAAAGTAATTTTGTTATTTTAAGAAAAGCCCTCGCAGGCTCTAAGGATTCTGTTTTGCAGGAAATTGATTCCCCCGCGCGTTTTTCCTTTTTCCTCTCTTTTTTTTTTTCCAGACCGCTGCCGCAGGAATTCCCCAACAAGTCGCAATTTCGCAACCTTTTGCACCCCGCGAGGCTAGCAAAGAAAAAAAAACACAAAAATAAATAAAAACAGGGGCTAGATGGTGTTAATGGCATTGGAAATTTGCGTGGGGTGCGGCGCGGTGGAAATTTAATTTATTATTTCGAAAAGCAAAGCATTTCTAATCGAATTGTATTCGAAATATGCGTTTCATGAGGGAAATTGAAAAATTGCCCCCCAATTGGTTGGATTTCCTATAGGCAGAGATAATGCCGCCAGAAATTTGAATTGTTGGGTTTATTTTCCTCTTTTTTGGGGGGTGGGCTGGGATGGTGGCTGGGGGGTGCCTAATGCCTATCAGATTGTTTGGCATTAATGATGTCATGGACAGAGGGGATCGAAGTTTTGATGAACAGGCACTTAAGGAAAATGAATTAAGTGATAAGATTCGGCAGTGAATGGCAAAGGGAAAACTTTTACTTATCAAATTAAAGCTTAGATTTCATGGTACTTAAGGATAATACCTGATTTAATATATATATGTTTGGCTTTTTTGATATCTAAACATATTTTTAGAGATTTTTAAAACATATTCTTAAAGCTTGAAAAGTTCATCCTGTATTCCTCTTAAGCTTTCCTTTTCCTAAGGTTAATTGGCGACTCTTTAATCCGCGCCCCTTCAAACGCCCGCAGGACCCTGCTGCTGTGTATATATTTTTATTAATTTTCCAAATGAATTCCTGACAACGACAAAAAGACACTGACAACGATGACAACAACACTGGCGGTACCAGACAGAAAGCGAGTTATCCTGGCCGTCCAAGGATAACAAAAATAACCAACAGCAAAAATGAGAGCAGCCATTGTCGGCCCGCTGCTGTTTTCTCCCCCTTTTATTTTTTGTTAACTTTTTGGGCTTTTATTTTTATATTTTTTTTGGGTAACTGTTGGCGACATTATTACGTTACTTACTTTACGCCATAAATGTTGTTACGTCATGGCAACCACCCACCCACACATGTGCGCTAAAAAAAAAAAAAAGGGGCAAAACAATGAAATCAGAAGGAGCAGAAGGATGCGATGGCTGCCATCATTGTTATGTGAATGTGACGACTTTTTGACTTCCGCCACGCTGATGTGTTTCCGTTTCCTGTTTTATGCACAACTTTTGTCCGCCTTTGCCTTTCCTTCGCTGCGCATCCTTTCTGCGCTTGTTTCTTTTGCCTATTTTGTTGTTGTTGTGTTTTTTAAATGTTTGCCGCTGATGAAATGTAGCCAAGGATAACTGCCTGACGATTTCACGGCGCGTTGAATCCTCCTTCTCGCCCAGGATATTCCCCACCATACACCACTCTGTATGTGCATCCTCAATTTCCCTTTTATGTTATTTTAATTTTATGTTATTGTTATGACACAATGAAAATAAAATTGAATTGACACTGATGTCCTTGCTTCCTTTTGGGGTCCTGATAAGTGCGTATAAAGGAGAGAAAGAGAACTCCCAAAAATAAAGGCAAGAAAAAACTGTGTGCGTACGCCGGTTGGCAGTGACGTTTTTATTGCCCGGCCACACGAAGTCCAAGTGGCAGGCAGGCAGACAGGATCAGGACAGGATATTCAAATGGGCCATAAGTGCGGTTAAAGCGTTTCGCTCGCTTGACTAAATCTCAATCCCGAATAGCAATACCCAATCCGGCACAGAAACTTTCAATTTTTGACGCTGCCAGCTGGCGACATGACCTCTCCCTTTCCCTTTGCCATAGTAAATCCAACCTCCCCCAATCGCTGACAATATTATTTGTCGCGCAGGTTCAAAACAATATCATAAAGTAATTTATATGCCTGGCAGGACGTAGGACGTAGGACGAAGGACGCTGGATGAAGAGAAAGTGGGTGTGGAAAGCGGAGCAAAAGGGATCGGATTGGTGGGCGGACTGCCGGCGATGATATATGGGCGAAATGGCTTTTTAATGACAACGACGACAACAGCAGCTTGTACAAATTACAAGCCAACACACACACACACATGCACAGCACAGAGATTGTGATTGACCAGGACCTACGATGTGTTGTTGTTGTTGTTATTGTTGGTCTCCGTTAATTTGGATTGTCTTTGGGCTGCAGCTGGCTGATAAATGGGTCACACGTACCAGGGACCCAGTTGCCATCCGATGAGTGGCTGATGGGTGTTGTGACGGCGCGACTTCATCAAAATCTGTCCAACTAATGGCCCAAAGATTCCCATAAGCACATTGATTGCTGCTTAACAGTTTTTTGATTTTTTTTTCAAGGGGGTTCTTTCGAGTGTCGGTAGGAGAAGTTAAGCAAGATGTCTTCATGGGTTTTCTTGGTCTTTTGGGATGGTTTTTGGGAGGCTTTAGGGTTTTCATTAAGGAGAAATTACATGTGCCATAT